TAGTGACGTTTGAACCTGAATTTATTTTAATATCCCTTTTGAACGTATACTTTAAACTCTTGCATCCAAAAAGCTGTTTCATCTGTAGAAACCGTGGTGGTGAAATAAAATGTTTGAATGTTTCCACTTCATTCTGTTTATTTTTAACTACTTCTTTTTGTATTCATTACCTTTTTGAGGCTCACTAAACCAGTAAGATACTGATTTATGACTTAAAATTCTCCTAGCAAAGAAGCAGATGGCAACAATAAGCTCTCCAAAGAGCTCTCCGAAGTCTTCAGAACCAGAAAGTCTCAAAGGAAATGAGATCAAGCCCAAAAGAGCTAAGAGAAAGCTGTATTCAACTGACATTTCCTCCCCTCTAGATATCTCTGCTTCTTCAGTAAGTACTTACAGGTTACTCTAATGTAATATATTTCTATAATCTTTGCTCAAAATAAGCTATAAGGGGAACAGAACAAACTTGAAAGTCTGGTAAATTTGCATAAGGGGTTTGATAGTACTGAGCATTTCTTGATTATACCTAGCCATTCTTTTTGGTAATGTTTTCCTACTGTTTTATTTTATTTTCTATTATCACCTCTCTTCTGCGTTTGATTGTGACTTGATAGGTGATATAAACAATCTTGGAGATCTCTTTCTATTTGGAGCCATAAGTAGCTTAGTTCTGGTAACGGGGAATGTGAATTATTCTGCTACAGTAGTTGAGTCATAATGTATGTGTTTCTTCCAGCAATTAACTGGCATAACATAACTTGTTATACTATACTACTTATGCTATGCTAGTTAACTATAGCATAAAGAAAGAATGGAAATACAGGCAATTTAGGGATCCATTAATTTGGAACAGCATGATCAAAGCACTAAAGAAAATTCTGCATGTACAATTAACTTTGCAGTGGAAGTGAGTGCTTAAGGTAACTTCAAATTCCATTTACGTCTAGCTGATCTTCAGGTTACTTTAAAAAGTTGTATACATCTGTGCTTTTCCAAAGTACACTTTAGACAGCCTGCTGGGTATGCTTGAGCTGTGTTCTCCTGTCTAAGCCAGTTTATGAAGGGTCTTAAGTGCTAAGGCTCGATGTACTGTTCCTGAAATGCGATTTCATGGCTCTCAGTAGCTATGGTGCTGGTAGTACTCCTGCTCTATTGGAACTACGTCTTTTAAATCTGTTTAAGCCTTTCTTCTATTCATGATGGTGAGCATTTGTCCATGCTGCATTATCTCATTGAATTTTCTTCATTCAAATTGTATGAATGAAGGAGGCAGAAACCAAAATGTTGTTTGTTAGAAGATGAAGAAATGGGACAGAACTACAGAGACAACAGAAACTGAGAAACATGAAATTGAAAGGAAAAATGAAAGACGGAATTCTGGGAAAGTGAGAAAGCCACAGAAGTTTAAGCTATAAATGTATTTTGAACACCTCATTTCACAAAATGAGTATTAGAGTTAAAAAGTTAAATTTGCCTTCAGATTTTCTTGGACATTTTTTAAGATAAATGGAATTTTGTATGGTCATAGCATTTTTGTTGCTTCTAATCAAGCAGCTGTAAAATGGTCTCTGTCCTATAAACACCTGGTTAAAAGAGAAGATGTTTTCAGAATGAAATTTGCCTATTATGGGGAGAAAAACATGTAGTTGATTACATGAGTCTAGAAGTGTATGTCAGCCTTCTATAAAGAAAAGATGAGTAACTCTTGAAATGTCTTTTTCAGATTTTTATAGAACAAAATGAGAAGGAAAGTGATCATCTAATCATCAAGCGACGTCTCCGATCAAAACCAGCTAAATAATCTTGCAGAAGCATGATTGTACTTCCTAGTCAAGGCATGCTTTATTGTATTATTTTAGCTGATTGTATGTAGGAGGTGATAGATACTTTGTCATGCTACTAAGCTGGTATATAGATATGTAGAATATTCCTGATGGTTTCACACTTTGACTTAATTAAAATTGAAATAAGCTCAAGAAAGCTTGTATCTTTTTTTTTTATAGGAACTGTTCCTTAGTTATCCGTTGTTCAGTGATAACTATGCCTGTGAAGAACGGCTTAAATTCTTGTTTTCAGGTGGCTCGTATACTTACCCTAAATTTGGGGTGGCAAGGTTAGGAGGAAGAGTACACATCATGACTTGTGCATCCTTAAATTCTTTATAATCCCTGAAGGAGTATTAATATCCATAAATGTAATCTGGTATTTCAAGTGACACAGTTTGGTGTAGACGTCTGAAAGCTTATTCTAACCATCCAATCCTCAACTAGAACAGGTGCTTTTTGTACTAAGATTTTAGTTCATAATCAAATCACTGTTCTTCTCCAGCTCTTCCGTTTTCTGCTGTCTGGTCCAGGTATCTGGACTAAATTCTTTCAGGACTATAGACGAGTATAGCAGTGAAGACTTACCTGAGGTAGATGCTACTGATTTTTAGACAAGTGTCATAGCTGGAACCATAGTAAATATGCAAGGTGAAGTCATGTAACGCTCTTACACAACGGGGCTGTACTTGCCACATTTATTCTTTGTCTTCCTCAATATTTCATCTGCGTTGTTCCATGTTTAGCAGATGTTTTCAGTCAGCTGTTCATCTTGACCCTAACTTGTTTTTCCTGAATAATTTCAGTTAATTTTAGAACCCATCAGCATGTCCTTGTTTAGCTGGATTGTTCCTTCCATTGTGTGTAACCTTGTGCTTGCCTCTAGCAAGATTCATATTCCATCATGTTGCTTTGAATGACAGTTTGATTGCTTATCATTAAATCAGCAGAAGCTTATAGCTCTTGTTTTACAAAAAAAAAAAAAAAAGGCAAGGTAAAATGCAGGATTGAAAGGATTCTACATCACTTGATTTTTGGATGTATGATTTCTTTATTGACTGAGATGTATGGGGAAGTAGTAGAAATACCTTCAGCCACTTGACATCTCTGAAATTGCTGATTGGTAATGTTTGTTCTTCTCCCTACCAAATTTGAAGTTTCATAGTTTCAAATCCTATTGAGGCGCACTGTGGGAAAAAAAGCAGTCATTGGTCCCAGCCAGCATGGGTTTGTGAAGGGTAGGTCCTGCCTAACTAACCTGATTTCCTTTTATGATAAGATCACCCGTATGGTGGACCAAGGGAACCCAGCTGATGTGATTTTTTTGGACTTCAGCAAGGCTTTTGACACGGTTTCCATAGGATCCTACTGGACGAAATGTCCACCATACAGCTAAAAAAAACATCATACGATGGGTGAGCAATTGGCTAACGGGCAGGGCCAAAGGGTTATGGTGAATGGCGCTGCGTCAGGTGGCGGGCGTTCACTAGTGGGGTCCCTCAAGGCTCCTTTTAAGGGCCTGTACTTTTCAATATTTTTATAAACGATCTGGATGTAGGAATAGAAGGTATTTTGAGCAAGTTTGCCGATGACACCAAACTTGGAGGAGTTGTGGACTCGAATGAGGGTGGAAAGGCCTTGCAGAGGGATCTGGATAGTTTGAGAGCTGGGCGATCGCTAACCGCATGAAGTTCAATAAGAGCAAGTGCCGGGTCCTGCACCTGGGACGGGGAAACCCTGGCTGCACGTACAGACTGGGTGATGAGACGCTGGAGAGCAGCCTAGAAGAGAGGGATCTGGGGGTCGTGGTAGACAGCAAGTTGAATATGAGCCAGCTGTGTCCCTGGCAGCCAGGAGGGCCAACCGTGTCCTGGGGTGCATCAAGCACGGAATCGCTAGTAGGTCGAGGGAGGTGATTGTCCCACTCTACTCTGCGCTGGTGCGGCCTCACCTTGAGTACTGTGTGCAGTTCTGGGCACCACAGTATAAAAAGGACATGAAACTGTTGGAGAGTGTCCAGAGGAGGGCTACGAAGATGGTGAAAGGCCTGGAGGGGAAGACGTACGAGGAACGGCAAGTACCTTCTAGTACCTCAGCTCCTTTCCCCTTCAATGAAGTATGTAAAACTGTCTAGTATGAAGAATATGTAGTGTTTAGTTTGATACATTTTCTTGGGCCTGCCTACACAATTGGCCTTTCAGAGGAAAACTATCTCCTAACCCAAAACTTTTAGTCTTCTAGAACTTAAAAGCATGGCTTTACAAGCTAAAGTACTGCTATCATTGTGTTTGATCTAGCAGGAGCTTTTGGTAGGTCTAATTAGAAGAGATCAGCAGGAAGAAAGTGTTTGGTAGAATTCGATGACTGTTTTTATTAAATTGGTTGCGGGCTGTCTGTAGGAGTTGTTGGATCAGTTCAGAGGCTGCTTCCATGCAGTGCATGTGATGCTATGTGATATGGCCACCCAATTCCACCCTGTGGTAGGTGCAGTACTTGCAAGAAACAGTATCTCCCTAGAATACATAATTGTCATAACCTCAACCTTAGAGATGGTCAGGCTTTTTTGTACTAAAACATGGCATGCAGGTTACTGAACAGGCGGCTGGATTCTCAAGCACTCATGAAATGCAGCTGGAGTCCCTTTTGATAGAGAGAAAATGCATGTGATTTTTAGTTAATTGCTCATTACTTATGGAAAAAGCAGTCTCAAGCTAATAAAATATTTATGCAATTTGAGTTTGGAAATTTGTATCTCTTTGTGAGAGAACTTTGCATGCGATGCTGTAGGTGTAGGCAGAAGTGGTGATTCTTACATTTTTTTTAGAGTCCAATTGAAAAAAGAGGAGGGGAAGGATAGGAACACAGTGATAAACTTGTGTGGGATTTCAGCTTCCTTTTTAAAGTAAGGGGACGTTGAGTATGAATGAAACTTCTCAAAAAGCGTATCATGCGTTTGCTCTTCTAAACATAGTTTGGGTGATTAGCTGTATTGAAGGGATTGTTGAACCAGTGAATGTGGAAACTAGATAGAACTAAATTATCTAGCTCATAATATTGGAACATTTTTATAAACTAGGTAGGTTCTCTACTAGTGTTAGAGTAGAAGGTTTGAACAGAGCTAAGGCAGAGAATTTTTTCAGGCTGAGGGCCTTTTGGTGCAAAGTACTTAGAAGTCCAAGGCACCTATTTCATGCTAAGCTATTCAGAGGGCTTTAATTACTTTGAGACTTCAAAAGGCCATCTGACGTGAGGGTATGTTTTCCATATTGTGACCATTTTTCACATCATAATTGCTACTTGGTATTGCTAATAACTTAATGATTTTAATCAACCTGAGCTGTATTCATTTTTAGGAGTTGTGAAAGACAGTTGGGAAGATCTCTCGATAGAGCGAGAAAGAACTGAGCACGTGAACCAAAATAGTTATGACAAACATATGGAAACGCTTGCACTGAAGGAAAGAGTTGAAACCTTGGAGAGTCAGATAGCTGCACTTGAACAACAATGCAGAAGAGAAGAAAATGAAAAAGAAGAGTTCAGTGAGCAGGTAACAAACTTGCAACTTCAGCTCTCCCACTCTGAAGAAAGGGCAACTGGCTTGAGTGAAGAGCTTCAGCAGTATCGAACTGACTATCAGCAAATTGTTTCTGAATTGGATAAACAGAAGACTATAAATAAGGAGAAAGAAGAAAAGATTCTTCAACTAAAAAAGGAAGTAGAAGATGCCAAACAAAATATAATTGATAAAGTGTCACAAATAAAAACAATGCAGTCCAAAGTAGATAAGCTATGTAAATCTCACTTAGAGTCTCATGCTATGGATTTAGTTGATCTAAAGGATTCCTTAGATTATGAAAAAGAGGAATCGGAGACATCTCAAATTAATTCTATGTATATGCAGTCCCAAACGACTTCTATAGCAGATCCAAGATGGGAGAGCTCCTTTCACTACAGTGTTGAAAGCATTTGGGAAGAATGCAAAAGTATTATTAAGGCTTCCTCGCAGAAAAGTCAGCAGATCAAAGAACTAGTTCAAGAAGTTGAAAACTTAAAGAAGGGACTCGAGGACAGTGAAAACTGTAATAATCAACTAAAAGTAAAACTAAGTGAGATGACAAAACAAGATAGTCAGTCCATAAAGGAAAAGGCTCTTATGGATCAGTTAAAAGAGCAAATCCAAAAGAAAACTCAAGATTTTGAAAAACGGGCTGCAGAAGATCATAGAGTAATTACACAATTTGAGGAGGAAGTTACAAGTTACAAGGTAAAAATAAGAGAACTTGAATGCCTCTTAGAAGCTTTTCAAAAAAAAGAAGACAGCATGACAAAGTTAGAAGAAATACTTAAACAAAAGGAATCTATTATTTTAAATTTAGAAGCTAATACAGTAGCTCTGCAAGAAAAATGTGCTAATTCAGACCAAAAAATCAAAGAGTTATATAGTCAAGAAGCAAATTTGAACGAAGAAGTTGTGCAGTTGACAAACAGCTTGGAGAAGATGAAACTCTCTCTTTGGGAAAAGGAGAAATATGAAAACGAGAGAACACAGTCCATAGAACTGTAAGTAAATAGTGAGATAACTCATAGCCCTTTGAGACTGAGTCTGAGTTAAAACTACCTTCTATGAACGCTGATCTTCTTTAACATAACCCATCTGCATGTTATCAATATCATTTACTAAACTACTACTACAAGATAATCTTACTACCTTGAAATTAAGGGGAAAACAGAAACATGCAGGGTAACAGAATAAATTGGGGATTTATAATAGTTTTATGCTGTATATTCATGAGAACTGAATTTGAGTAGTTTGTTGCTTTAGCACCTTAGGAAAAGCTGAAATCTGAAAGTAAACGTATAGTTTGTTATTGATCTTGATAGATCTGAGATACTATTTATTGATAGAAACCAACAGTCAGAGCTTAGCTTAACCTGTGAATGTTGTTTCTTTCAGATGAGTAATAATGTTATTTCTGTCTTTTTATTTCTAACACCAGGCTAAATAAAGATCTCTTGGATAGTTCTGCCCTTGTACAGAGTTTGAAAAAAGATTTGCAGAGGAAAGAGGAAGATTATGAAGATTTGAAAGAGAAATTTTCTGATGCTAAGAAACAAATCCAGCAAGTACAAAAAGAGGTTTGTAGTCGTAGTCAAGATGTTTCTTCTGCAATGTTATTCTTGGTTTTATTTGAAATATGTTTCTCTCAAATCTCCAACTTTGAAGGTTAAGTGTTTCATGTTAAGGCTATTTTGTTATACAGCTAGAGTAGCTGTGAATTGTTAATATTTCTGTTGAAGTTGTAGAGAAGATGAGATGCCAAAATGTGGTTTAATATAGGTAATGGGGGAAGGAAGAAGTAAATTTTATTAGTGACCTTGAAAAAGGGTTGTGGGGAAAGAAAGGATGATTTGATTATGGTGAGATACCTTACTATAACAAGTATTATGTCTTACAGTGGTATTTGTGCTAACTTTAAAGCCTCAACCTTCAGACTTGTGGAAAATGAATATATCTGGGAGGAAAAGTGGTATATACCAGAAGAAAGCACTCCAAGGCTTCTTTTCAATTTCAGTTATTTTTTGCATTCGTAACTTGTAGTAATAATAATTGTTAGTATATAGTTATGAAGTGATAGTTTCTTAGAACCTGATAAGTTACTGCAAGAAAGATTCTTCCAAAAGATTGGAAGAGTTTGGGATTGAAAATGAAGGCTTAAAAATGTAATAGTGTCTTTCTTGTAGCCTTATGCTTGCTGACCTTTTACTGCTCAGAGTTTGGTGGTTAATCCTTCTTTATTTGACAAAGAGTAAGGGGTGGTGAAATCATGTCAAAAAAACTGTTGTTTTTCCAAATAGACAACTAAATTTGGAGTTTAGATTATGCCATTTGAATTTTGTTTTTCCTGCCAAACGTACTGTAATAACTGATGGAAAATCGTGTCAGAAAGAATGCACAGTATAATGCACATCCAGACCCTGAAATTTAGTTAAGATGTTCATATTCTTGCAATAAATTGATTTTTTTTTAATGAAAGTATTTAGTTATTTAAGTAACTTAGATTGTATAAAAAAAGCTTGTAACTAATTGTCAGCTTTGTTTGTTGTCTCTGCATTCTACCTCCATTGTAGGTGTCCACAATGCGTTCCGAAGAGAAATCCCTGAGGAACAAAGTTAATGAACTTGAAAAAATCAAAAAACAGTTGAGTGAAGAACTGGATATCAAACAGCGTGCTATCCAGCAATTTAAAAGGGTATTTTTTTTCTCTTAATTTTTTAACTAGTCTGTTAATGACATGTTCTCTAAGTAACAAAGCTTACAGAACTGGAGGTAAAACTAAAGTAACCAGCTGAAACTAGACATAACAGATGGGAAGTGTTTAAAAGATTATTGCAGAGCACTGGTAATTTTTTTTAAATACAGCAATCAGCTTAGTAAATACATATGTAATACCCTGATTCTATTTTGTGATGTCTACTTTTTATTAGTTGAGATGTCTTTCTCTAAACCTTTTTTATCAGCTTGAATGCTCCTTTACACTCTATAGAAAAAAATATTTATTCTAGACTGTCTTAAATGTTCCACTCATTCAAGTTCAGAATGAAAAGCATTGTAGGCTGCTACTGATTTCTAGTATGTATGTTTTTCTTTCAACACTCTTCTTTAACTTGCTTTCAATGATATGTAGGAGCAGTTGAGTAATGAGAAGCTGGAAGAAGTCTCCAGACAGTATGAGAATACACGTAAAGGTCAGAAAAAGCCATTACTTTTCTGTTTTTTGGGTGTGGAATGTCAGTGTAAGGAGTTGTCATGCTATTAACTACCTTGATAAGTTTTACGTATTCGTATAGTGAGACATGATTTGAGAAACCCTAAGCTGAATGTTAAAATGTTAGTTAGCAATTAATTTTTGTTGTATCACTCTTATCATGTGTATTTGAAAGCAGAGAAACAGAATTAAAATAAGAAACAAGTCCTTGAGAAAGTGTAGATATGCTGTACTTTCTTTAATCTGGTATTTATTTGCCAAAATAAATGACCTTTAACAAAAATCAAACACTGAAATATGAAATCCTACAACAATAGATTCTGTAGGCTTGATGAACTTAGAGTAGCTGAATCATGGCTTTCTCATAATACAGTCAATATTCTTATTTATCTTAAACTTAGATGAGAGATTTAACTCTATTCAGTAAGGCTTTCTTAAGGTTTTTTATGTATTTGTATATAAATATTTGAATAGAGATGCTCTATTTCTAATAGATCTTTTGATCATAGGGGGAAACTACTTTGTATTGAAGGCTTTCTTAGAAAAAATCATGGGAACTGGTAGGGGGTTCATCTGTAAATTTGTTTTCAAACCTTCAGAACTCAGTGCAAAAGAAAAAATAATTGAAGATATGCGGATGACATTAGAAGAACAAGAGCAGACTCAGATTGAACAAGAACAAGTACTTGAAGCCAAACTAGAAGAAAACAGCAGATTAGTTTCAGGTAATCTCTCCAGGGAAAGGAAGCAGGGAGGCAACGTTGTTTTTTTATATATGTTGCAGTAGCCACTTCTATTTTCCAGTTGACCGTTATTTAGGTATTAATTTTCTGTAATACATAACAAATTTCTAATAGTTGAAGGCTTCTGTTATTCCTTTGTGTTAGTAGCTGATAAAGCCAAGTGACTTTAGCAGGTAAATGTTAATGTGGTCAAATACATATTTGAAACTACACACCATGTAACCTCATTTTCTGTACCAACTAGAATTGGAAATGTGGAAGCAGAAATATATGCAGCTGAATAACCAGAGCAATACTGAGTGGCAGCCAAAGATGACCAGAAATGATGACACAAACATAAATGGAAATGAGGAATTAATAAAGCTGCAGAAAGAACTGAAGGTAGAATAGGGTGACTTAATTCATACTTAATTTTAAAGCAGTACCTTCTAGGAGACTAGGTTTTTTTTCATAATCATATGATAAGGAGTACAACTTTCCCTACATTATGCTACAATGGACAGTGCTTCTGTTGCTGCCTTCCCCTGAATGTTTGTCTTAACCAATCTGACTTCCTTCATTGATAAAAAGAAATAGACTCTCACTGGAATTTCCGAAGTGATTATACAACAGATTGCATTTATTCCATTAGTGCAATGGTTCTGCACTTTTTTCTTTCCTCCTGAAAAATTATTTGTTTCTAATGCATAAAACAAATGCTATCCTTCAAACAGAAGGGAAAGTTGAACACTCATTGCTCCATTTTATACTAGATCTACACAATATAAACCAAGTACTTAGTCGATTTGTACATCATATGCAAGAAGGAAATACGAACTCGAAGCAAATCATAAACTTCAGATGATAGTTTTGTCAAACGCGTTTCCTGTCAATTGATTTGGTTAACTAAATAAGCTATTTAGATTACGTAGACTTTTTTCCAAGCAGTTTCTCAGGCGCTGTCTGCCTTACATAAGAGAAGGATAACAGATTTGATTGTGATTTAAAAAAAAAAAAAAAAAGGCAAGGTTGCTGTGGATTGGCCGTTCTTAGGTACTCATCTACTCCTACCATTTAAATTGTACTGCATTCTTTGCCTTTCAGTCTTAAATTAGAAGCAAGTTTTCTAATGTTTCCTGTAAGGTGGCATAAAAGATTAGATGCTTGTAAGTTAGAAGGGTCTCCTTAGTACTACTTTTGGTGTAACTTTTATAGTGCTCATGATTTACTCGGAGCATTTTTAAAGAAATGTTTTATGAAGTCGCTTCTTTCTGAATAAGAAATGCTGAAAATTGATAATGTCTTTTCCAATAGAAAAGAAGTGATGAATATCTAATACCAGCATTTGAGAATATGCTGGAGTAAAACTGTTAGTATTTATCTTTCTGAAACAAGTCTATTTAATGGTAATCTGGCTTTTAAGACTTTGGTTTTGCTTGATTTCTTATGACTTCATTTCAAATCTCTTTTAAAAATAGGAAAATGAGGCGAAGTATCAAACTGACAGAAAAAAGTGGATGGAAGAAAAAAAAGGACTCATAGATCAAGTAAAAGAAGCTGAGAGCCATCGCAACAGAGAAATGAAAAAATTTGCTGAGGACAGAGAGCGTCATATAAAGCAGCAAGCCGAAATTGTAAGTGATGAGGTCTTGGCAGAGTCCTTTAGTGTAAGTCTGTAGTGCAGAACAAATTTCATGTCAAGTACTAGCAGTATCAGCATTTGAGAGTAGGTTACGTTTGTCAAAGTCCACTCACTTTCTTACATGACACAAAGCCCAGATGAGATGTTCTCCATATGGAAAAGGGAAGGAGGGTCAAAGAATAAAAAAATAAAAAAAAAAAAAAAAGAAAAAAAAGCATAGTATATAGTGTAAGCCATCAATACGGGATCTACAACTGAAAATGAATTGCTGTTTAACGAAGCTAAGGAAACATATTTCGAATAACAATTTGTTTCTTGGGTCTCCTATAAATCTTCTATAAAAATAGAAGCCTATAAGGCCTTAGAAGGATGAAGAAAGAATAATCAGAAGGTGGCAAGAAAAAAGCTTCTCTCCAGATAAAAAGTAAAAACACTTGGTCAAAATGCCAGTGTTTTGCTCCCATATAGCTTTCAAAACAGTGACTGATAATTTATGAAAATATAACTACTTTGCATGCTCACAAGCCTGTTGTCATGTCTGCGACTTCTTAAGCACATGAAACTGTATGAATCTGTACAGTCTACAGAACTATATTTATTATCTAGAAGTAGTTAGCATTGATTTTGTGGACCTGCAACCAGCACAGAAAAAACGTTAGGAGCTTAGTATTACTATTACTCTGTTACTTTTCCTGATGCTTGTTAATAATCACTTTAACAAACAGAGGTTGAGGTTCTTTGGGAAAAAAATCTTTCTTCACAAGGAGAAATAGACTGAAAATTGAAGCATGGTTTGCTTTTGTGTATTTGTATACAATATATTTCTAGTTCTGCATGTCCTTTTTAAGATGTAAAAGCGCTCTCAAGTTTGCTAAGGCCATAAAATAGCACTAACTATATGAAGCCAAACTGTCAGAACAGTTCGGATAGTGTGTAGTAGTAGTGTTCGTTTTTAATCTTTTCTCCATTTAGGAAAGACTTGCTGCTTAATCTTTTCTCCATTTAGGAAAGACTTGCTGCACAGCTGGTGGAGAAGGACAGCGATCTTAGTAAGTGGCGTGAAGAGAGAGATAAATTAGTAGAAGCTTTGGAAGTACAGCTCAAGACTTTGGCTTCTAAGACCATACAAAAAGATAAAGAAATAGCAGAACTGAAACAGTCTGTCCTAAAGGATTCGGGAAAGGTCAGCTTTTTTTTTTTTTTCTTACCATGTCAATTGCTTCCAATAAATTCTGCAAAACACTTTTCTTACTCACCATTTCAGCTGTATTTTTGTTCTTAAACATGGTCATATTAACATTTGCAGCCAGCTTAAAATAAGGCTGGCTTTATGTTCTTTTGAAACTGAATTTGTGTTAGTGGCTAAAATTTCAAAATATTTAATAGTACAAATAAATGCACAAGTCAATTTGATTCTTTGTTTGCAAAGTTGGACTAAAAATTTTAAAATGACTTTTCCTGTAGCTTGTAGGACTTTGCCCCAGGCTAGGCTGAACACTTAATAGGAAATAGTTTTCTCTTTCTTCAGGTGCTTTTCTGATCTAACATGTAGAGTGGCATGAGATGAAAGAAATGAGGAAAGTTGAAAGAAAACAATGGAGGCAGAGAAGGAATGATTTCTCAAGTTTTTTTTAATTTCTGTGTCCAGCTCTTAACCAGGATAGCAAATCTAATTAGAAGCATACGACTTCAAAAGCTAAACAGAAGACTGATTTAGTTATCCCTTCTCTGGATATTTGACCTCAGTCTCTCCAGGTGGACATGCTTAAAACAAAATGACCCCAACTGCTGGCTCTTTCACAGCAGCAAGGACTTAATGGAAAAAATAGAAAGCCAAACTTCTTAGACCTTAGGGAAGATGACTGAAGCACGTAAATAGAGCAAAATAAAAATCGTATTACATCTTTCCAGGCTATGTGACTTATTTACTTCCAATAGTGGCCACACAAATAATTTAAACTATCGTAGCTTCCGTTTGATAGAATTGCAGGCTAGAACAGAAAACTAAAATTAATGCTATTGAGTAATTGCAGTGCTGCTCATGTATATGTTAATTCTTTTTGCCAATCCTGTAATTTGGCAATTTTTACTATGTTTGTTAGGATAATGAAACTGTGATAGAACTAAGAAAACAGTTGGCTGATAAAGAGGACTTCATAAAGGAATTGAAAAAATGCATTAACCATGAAAGCCTTCAGTTTTCACCAGAAGTACCTTTACATGAAGAAAGTCAAGATACAGTGGATTTACCTGTAAACAAAGAGGTATGATTAGTACATACTAATGTTTGTTATATTTAGAGAAAATAATTGTAATAATTGTTGTTCTGTTCCTTTCTCAGTATATATTTATGAGATACTGGTAATATCCCAAAAGTTATAATTTCAGGAACTTCCAAAATGAACTGTTAAGTGTATTTTTTAAAAAAAGTTCCCATGTTCCCAAAAGAAAAGGTTGTGTAGGTTATCATGCATTCTCCACTAATCTTGCTGATATAATTCTAGTATCCAGATAATGAAATTTGCAAGCTCTACCACATTTGTCTGGCTTGAAAGAAAAAACAAGTGCTGCTAGACTTCTCTTTTGATCATCCCCACGTGTCCAAGCAAACAGCATGACCAGCGTGATTAAACAAGTTTGTGGCTGGTGCTATTATTACTATTGGAAGAAATACATATGCAGTTCTCTTGTTTATGTGGCATGAGGAAAAGGCCAGCAATACAGCTTCAGAAGTAGCTTCTGTTTTGTTCTTTCACTTACTTTCCTGTAAAATAGTTGTTCCCAACAGCAGTGCTCACATCAGTCCCATTCTGTTTGTTTGAATTGACTTAATTGGTTTTACTATTCCTGCTTCTGTGAAGGGTTATGCATGGACACTCACTACTTATGAATGAGGAGAAAAGCCAACTGGTGTTGACAGTCATTGAGAGTGCTGTGAGAGCAGGAAGGGAATAGATGACAAGCTGTCCAGAATCACACACCCCTAGATAGAATTTCCCTTTGCCACTTTCAGAGACAGAGTATTGAAAAAGATGGACTGTTGCTGAGACCCAGCAGCTCACATCTTACAATCACATCATGATGTTACTTGCTTCTCAGACTTGTGCTGTCTTTTAGTCTAGGTGTTCATGAGGTGTCTGTGCTTGAGATTTTATAAATTTAGAGAACTCAGTGTTTTTTTTTTTTAAAGTTCATCCTATAGGATAACTTTTATTCATTCTAAATATTTACAGTTTATGAAGAAACGGAGTGAGATTAATCCAATCACTGGAGACACTGTTCCAATAAGACATGAAGTTAAGGAGAATGATTCCAACAGTGCTTCTTCATTAAGTGAAACTGAGGTTGGTATGGAACTTTAAACTGGAAAGTTTTATAGTTGTATAGTGTATGGATTTGATAAGTAAAAAAATGGGTAGGAAACAGTGTCATGTCTGAACAATTCTGAAGTTATTCTGCAGGTATCTTTTGACGTGATCAGATTGTCTGATTTGAGAGCTTTTGGTAGCACCAAAAGCTGAAGAAACGTAACTTAGTGGTGAATTTTATCTATGTGCTTTTGAAAACTTTCATTATAAAGTAGCTGATTAGATAAGCCACCTGGAAAAACACTTCTGAAGCTATGTTAGCTGAGGATGCTAACCAACCCTATGCAAATCTTTGATTGCTATCTTTCATAAAGTAGCAGTTAGATAAAGAAAAATGTTATTATTAACCAACTCATTCTTGGAAATGCAAGATGTGTGCTTCGGCTGTGAGGTGGTACAAGAGAAAATCTTCAGCTTGTTGACAGCGTTGCTGTCTGAATGCCTGGGCTTTCTCCAGGGAAAAAAAGTGATGAGACTCCTGCAGATTGAATTTGGCTTGTAGCTTGCCAGCTGGACCTTGTTATTTACACAATTAACTTCCATAGTGTTGAAGGAGAAGGGCAAACTCTCTGAAGATAGGCTACAGAGAAATTCAATTGTTCTGTCTAAAGCTCTTGTATCTGCCTAAAGCTCTTGTACCTGCCTAGTTCCTAAGCAGCAGAATTGAAATGGACAATCATGTCAATTCTGCAGCTGATAGCTGCATAAACAACCCAGTTGTTTGTGCCCTTGAGGAAAACGACCTGGGAAGTATCAAGCTGAATTCAGCATGGAAAACTTAAGTTTTTATTCCAATCTATAACTGGAAAAAAATAAAGACCCCCTAGAAAATAAGGGTTAAACTCGGTTATAATTGGAGTAGAGTTCTTCTGTCATAAGAACTCCGTAAACTAGTATCTGAAAAATTGATTGAATGCTTACTTCACGTATCCTTTTCCAGGGGGGATTGCATTATATTTTTATCTCATAATTACTTAATTTGTTTCCTAAAAATTTCCATATATTGCAGGAGCATTCAGAAACTGTCCTTGACTCTTCTGAAGTGTCCACAGAAAATGGAAGAACTAGTCGGTTCCCAAAACCAGAGATGGAAATCCAGTTCACACCTCTGCAACCAAATAAGATGGAAGTAAAGCATCAGGGCAGTGCCTTACCTGTGACAGTTAAAATGCTCAAAACAAGAAGCAAAAGGAAGAGTGACGAAATGGATGAGGTATGACCTAGACCAACTAACAAAGTATTGTGTAGTTTTTCAGTGTATTACTGTGATACTTTATTAGAAATTTATTATCTGATTCTCAATGAGATTACCGAGGTCTACAAATACCTCTATATCAGGGAGGGGTGGGGGTGTGAAAGAAGTTTAAATAGACATGAGTGGTGGATCTCCAGTGTGTGTTGAATAAGGCCATAGACTTCAATATATCCAGACTCTGGCCCCATATCCCTGCCTTGCATTTCCTCTTTGCCTTTTACACTGTGCTCTCCCTGCCAGTACCATTTGCTCTGTCCCCAGCTCTCATTTGTGGGATTGCAGACCAATTCTACAGAATTGCTAGTTTTGGCTTCGGCAACTGTTGGTTCTCTCCTAATACCTAATTTCAAATTAAGCTTAATCAACACATTCCTGAACTCCAAGGCCACCTCCTTTTTTTTTTTTTTTTTTTTTTCCATCATATGAGGGGCTGCACAGAACTGCACCAGCACCTGAACCTGCTGTTTTCTGTAGACTTGAATGAACTGAAGATGAATTAAGTTGGGCTAGGTTATATGCTGCAGCCTTCTTAATGTGCTGTATGTTTGTATGTGAGCCTGAGACTCCACTGCAGTTCAGGATGGTATATGTTGTTCCCTGCACGTTACCAGCATACTTTTCACGGCATTAGCACCAACACAGCTATCTCAAGGCTACCTAAATACCACAGTTTGGTCTTAGGGTTTTGTACCTGTAATGCTACTTAAGGGCCTTATTTGAATCTGTAAGGACTTACGGACTTGACAGGTTAGTAAGAAGGAGGTGACTTGTGGATGACTTGGCTAATGTGTGATGTCTTTCAAGTGGGTGAGCTTGTCCCAGCTGGAGAGTGAAACATTTGCTTTTCTAGCATCTCTTATTCAAGCATTACCAAATGATAACTTTATCTCAGTGAAGTAGTTGAGGAAAATAATCACATCAGTGATTTAGTGTTCAACAGTATTTCTATAAATTCACTTGCGTGTTTTTTTGGTTTTTTTTTGCAAAATGCGTAACCTGGATTGCAAAAATAACTGTTGAAAGCTGCGTAAGTTAAGTTACCTGGAATTTACGCTTTATTCTGGGTTAGTGTCCAGAGTGGATTTAAAATATTTGCATCTTAAACCAATTTCATTCAGGAGTAATATCCATCAAACAGATGGAAAACTTGAAGTAAAAAATAACCACCCTTCTGAAGGCACTGGAAAAACTGCTGAACCTTATCTGCAGATGAATATATTTCATCTAATGTGCTTATCCACCTTTTTAAAGACTGCTATAACGATTCACTTAAATCCTTTCATAGTATAATGGTCCATACCTTCATGGGATAACACTTAACTAAACTTAGAAATGTTACTTAATTATGTAATGCTAACTTATTTTTATTGCTGTTTTATTCATCTGAATATTACTCTTAAATATTTATTTTTGCATTACGTGTGCCAAACAAATTATGAAATTATTCAGTAACTTTAACGGTGTCTCAAACTAGTGATGGTTTTTAAATTCCTCAGAACTGAAAAGCGTATTGTCAACACTAAAGTCAGGGACAAATTAAAAACTATTAATGGTGAAACGACTATTTCTTGTTGACCTTAAATTATTTTTTTGCTTTTAGAAATATACAAAATTGAACCTTGTACAGAGTACAATCTTTAACTGAACAAATTAACAGCCATGCAGACCTATAACGGCATCAGAAAAGGGAGAAGAGTATTTAGTTATCTTATCTGAAATCCATTGCATTTCTTCTCTAGACAGCTGTACACACAAATCAGCTTTTTAGACTTCCCATACATTAGCTTTCTATTTTAGTCTAAAGTATCCAAGCGTGTCTTTAATAGAATTGTCGATGTGCAGTTTTGCTTCACATGGATCTTCAAAGAAAAGCTTATGTAGAGAGATGCCTTAATTCTATTGTTAATCTGTTAGTAACAATCTGTTTTTATCATTGTCACCATAAACCTGAAAGCAACTCAATAAATCTAAGTATAAATTCAACTTACATGTTTGCTTGTTAAATACCTCAATACTGGATGTGTACGAAATAATGGAGAGAAGAGAATTTCAAATGGCAGAATGGTTTGCCTACAGGTATTTCTAGTTCCTTTTAAGTTTATTTAGCATTTGAATAGTTACCACTATCCAATTATCCATATTAGCAAAATATCCAAATATCCACATTAGCAAATACCTCCATACTGTTAGCCATAGCATTTAAGTTTAAGCAGTGGTTGTTTATATGACAAATTATTTCTGGAAGAATCCTAGCCAAAATTTACGTATTTCTTTTCCTAGGATTTTGTGAAAAGTGAAAACAAGAAAAATGAAAAATCTATGGCTTTTAGCTCACCTTCTACAAGCAACAAGAAAACGGTTTGTTTTTTTTTTTTCCTATTTTTGACGTATTTCTTCTTCTTTTGAAGTATTTTAGTGTTTTTGAAGTTTTTATTTTTATTTTTTTTTTACTATTTTTGATAGTTTGGCATTTTCTGTAATGCATTTCTCTAACTTTCTGGAGATGTGAAAGGAGTGAACATTATTACTCAGCAATATCTTATCTCACTCAAGAATATATATAAGGTTTCTTAAACACTTTGTTCCTCTTAAATCCTATAGGCTAACCAAGGAGAGAGTAAGTCTGTTTGCCAAGTGTGTACTGGCTGTATTGTATAATGATCTGGAGGAAAGGATGTTGTTGAATGCTGAATATCAGGAAAGTCAAGTTTGAGTGTATCAATAAGTGCTGTTGTAGGTGATGCTCTTGAAGTAAAACTAAAGTTCATTTAAATGCATGTCACTTAAATACACAACAATTACAAAAATGTCTTCAGGCTGCAGTACTATCCTGGGCAAGTTCAGAGGGTGGGTACTGTATTTTTTTTCCTATCAGTTTCCTTATATTTTATTTATAATTAGAATGGTTTGTGTAAAGAAATGCTCTACAACCTGGAATTGATGTTTAAAGAAACTGTTTTCAGGTATTTCACTCGTGCCCTGAAATACTTGAAACATTGACAACTTTTTCTGGATATAGAATGAGATACTCCCACAGCGAGCAATATAGACCAAAGTGGTGTCAGTAGCAAAGCTCAAAATGTCAGCTTAAAAAAAACCATTGAAATAAAATGGAATTAAATTTGAAAATAACTCAGACTTCAGCTTAAACACTGGTCTTGTATTTCTGCTCAGGTGTCTACTACACAGACGTCTAGAAAAGAATATTCTCTAAGAAAGCAAGAATCTACATCAAACAAAAGGTCAGCTAGAAAAAAGGATGGAACACTACAAAGGCTTGGAGGCTTTTCTCAGAGTTCTCCTACTATTATTCATTCTAAAGGTTTGTACAGAATAAATAAGACTTATTCTGTGTTTTCTGGGCATTGTGTAATGACGTGTTTCTACTGTGGTCTGTTAATGTGCATGTTATTAAAGGACATGTCTGCCATGTTAAGTAGTTTATGAAATAATGGAAACTGAATTAGGGACTGCTATGTTGAATCCTGCAGAGTGGAAAAGGCTATCTTGATTGCAAGGACCATACAGTTCTAAAGTTTTGGTTAAGTGTAAAAGGTAATCTTGGTGGGATTAGAGGCCACTAAGAATTAGGAGGTGAACTAAATCCAAATTCAAAATCCTTTGTATTTCCATAAGTAATCCTTTTTTTTTCCATCTCTACCTGTCCATGTTTTCTGTATAATGTGTAATAATGACTTTTGATGCATGTATTTGTGAGAAGATTAGTTCTACAGAATATGAAAGCTATATGATAATACAGAGTACATTAATTGCCATATTTTATTGATGATCTTCCTTATATTTAAACATAGTTTTGGGAAGATTAACTGCTAGGCATCTTCACTGAAGAACCTTTTCTGTTCTTTCCTACAGTAATGTACAATCTGAGGTTCTATGGCTTAAAAAGATTAGCAGAATGCATAAAAGATGATCAGTTTTAAGTCCCAAAAGACATTCTTATCTTGCTGGTTCAAACATTCGTTCAAACATTCTGTGTAGATAGTGAAAACTGAAGATCTCTGCACCAATTTGAAAAGTTGCTACAAAATAGATGTTATTTCTGTGTTCTAAAATAATCTAGTTGATGATAGTGGGATTGTTCAAAAACTTTGCAGGCTTATATCTATTCTATGGGGACAGCATATCAATAGAAACCAAATTCAGATTATTCAAAATTTCAACCTGGAGTTACTTAATTCAAGTAAATGGGTTTCAGTTTTTAACCTTCATTACCACATCTGGTATTTTCTTTCCCTATTTGCATAACTTAGTATTTCTGGAGTTTTCTTGTTTTCTTCTAGCTCATAATATGCAAGTACTCATCTCTTTAGAGATTTAGTACTAGTTTGAAACTATGTAAGTGTATAAACTTAGGCCTGCTGTCCAACTCCTGCTGAAGTTTAACTTTTAGTGACGTTTGAACCTGAATTTATTTTAATATCCCTTTTGAACGTATACTTTAAACTCTTGCATCCAAAAAGCTGTTTCATCTGTAGAAACCGTGGTGGTGAAATAAAATGTTTGAATGTTTCCACTTCATTCTGTTTATTTTTAACTACTTCTTTTTGTATTCATTACCTTTTTGAGGCTCACTAAACCAGTAAGATACTGATTTATGACTTAAAATTCTCCTAGCAAAGAAGCAGATGGCAACAATAAGCTCTCCAAAGAGCTCTCCGAAGTCTTCAGAACCAGAAAGTCTCAAAGGAAATGAGATCAAGCCCAAACGAGCTAAGAGAAAGCTGTATTCAACTGACATTTCCTCCCCTCTAGATATCTCTGCTTCTTCAGTAAGTACTTACAGGTTACTCTAATGTAATATATTTCTATAATCTTTGCTCAAAATAAGCTATAAGGGGAACAGAACAAACTTGAAAGTCTGGTAAATTTGCATAAGGGGTTTGATAGTACTGAGCATTTCTTGATTATACCTAGCCATTCTTTTTGGTAATGTTTTCCTACTGTTTTATTTTATTTTCTATTATCACCTCTCTTCTGCGTTTGATTGTGACTTGATAGGTGATATAAACAATCTTGGAGATCTCTTTCTGTTTGGAGCCATAAGTAGCTTAGTTCTGGTAACGGGGAATGTGAATTATTCTGCTACAGTAGTTGAGTCATAATGTATGTGTTTCTTCCAGCAATTAACTGGCATAACATAACTTGTTATACTATACTACTTATGCTATGCTAGTTAACTATAGCATAAAGAAAGAATAGAAATACAGGCAATTTAGGGATCCATTAACTTGGAACAGCATGATCAAAGCACTAAAGAAAATTCTGCATGTACAATTAACTTTGCAGTGGAAGTGAGTGCTTAAGGTAACTTCAAATTCCATTTACGTCTAGCTGATCTTCAGGTTACTTTAAAAAGTTGTATACATCTGTGCTTTTCCAAAGTACACTTTAGACAGCCTGCTGGGTATGCTTGAGCTGTGTTCTCCTGTCTAAGCCAGTTTATGAAGGGTCTTAAGTGCTAAGGCTCGATGTACTGTTCCTGAAATGCGATTTCATGGCTCTCAGTAGCTATGGTGCTGGTAGTACTCCTGCTCTATTGGAACTACGTCTTTTAAATCTGTTTAAGCCTTTCTTCTATTCATGATGGTGAGCATTTGTCCATGCTGCATTATCTCATTGAATTTTCTTCATTCAAATTGTATGAATGAAGGAGGCAGAAACCAAAATGTTGTTTGTTAGAAGATGAAGAAAATGGGACAGAACTACAGAGACAACAGAAACTGAGAAACATGAAATTGAAAGGAAAAATGAAAGACGGAATTCTGGGAAAGTGAGAAAGCCACAGAAGTTTAAGCTATAAATGTATTTTGAACACCTCATTTCACAAAATGAGTATTAGAGTTAAAAAGTTAAATTTGCCTTCAGATTTTCTTGGACATTTTTTAAGATAAATGGAATTTTGTATGGTCATAGCATTTTTGTTGCTTCTAATCAAGCAGCTGTAAAATGGTCTCTGTCCTATAAACACCTGGTTAAAAGAGAAGATGTTTTCAGAATGAAATTTGCCTATTATGGGGAGAAAAACATGTAGTTGATTACATGAGTCTAGAAGTGTATGTCAGCCTTCTATAAAGAAAAGATGAGTAACTCTTGAAATGTCTTTTTCAGATTTTTATAGAACAAAATGAGAAGGAAAGTGATCATCTAATCATCAAGCGACGTCTCCGATCAAAACCAGCTAAATAATCTTGCAGAAGCATGATTGTACTTCCTAGTCAAGGCATGCTTTATTGTATTATTTTAGCTGATTGTATATAGGAGGTGATAGATACTTTGTCATGCTACTAAGCTGGTATATAGATATGTAGAATATTCCTGATGGTTTCACACTTTGACTTAATTAAAATTGAAATAAGCTCAAGAAAGCTTGTATCTTTTTTTTTTATAGGAACTGTTCCTTAGTTATCCGTTGTTCAGTGATAACTATGCCTGTGAAGAACGGCTTAAATTCTTGTTTTCAGGTGGCTCGTATACTTACCCTAAATTTGGGGTGGCAAGGTTAGGAGGAAGAGTACACATCATGACTTGTGCATCCTTAAATTCTTTATAATCCCTGAAGGAGTATTAATATCCATAAATGTAATCTGGTATTTCAAGTGACACAGTTTGGTGTAGACGTCTGAAAGCTTATTCTAACCATCCAGTCCTCAACTAGAACAGGTGCTTTTTGTACTAAGAGTTTAGTTCATAATCAAATCACTGTTCTTCTCCAGCTCTTCCGTTTTCTGCTGTCTGGTCCAGGTATCTGGACTAAATTCTTTCAGGACTATAGACGAGTATAGCAGTGAAGACTTACCTGAGGTAGATGCTACTGATTTTTAGACAAGTGTCATAGCTGGAACCATAGTAAATATGCAAGGTGAAGTCATGTAACGCTCTTACACAACGGGGCTGTACTTGCCACATTTATTCTTTGTCTTCCTCAATATTTCATCTGCGTTGTTCCATGTTTAGCAGATGTTTTCAGTCAGCTGTTCATCTTGACCCCTAACTTGTTTTTCCTGAATAATTTCAGTTAATTTTAGAACCCATCAGCATGTCCTTGTTTAGCTGGATTGTTCCTTCCATTGTGTGTAACCTTGTGCTTGCCTCTAGCAAGATTCATATTCCATCATGTTGCTTTGAATGACAGTTTGATTGCTTATCATTAAATCAGCAGAAGCTTATAGCTTTTGTTTTACAAAAAAAAAAAAAAAAGGCAAGGTAAAATGCAGGATTGAAAGGATTCTACATCACTTGATTTTTGGATGTATGATTTCTTTATTGACTGAGATGTATGGGGAAGTAGTAGAAATACCTTCAGCCACTTGACATCTCTGAAATTGCTGATTGGTAATGTTTGTTCTTCTCCCTACCAAATTTGAAGTTTCATAGTTTCAAATCGTATTGAGGCGCACCTAGGGGACAAAGCAGTCATTGGTCCCAGCCAGCATGGGTTTGTGAAGGGTAGGTCCTGCCTAACTAACCTGATTTCCTTTTATGATAAGATCACCCGTATGGTGGACCAAGGGAAACCAGCTGATGTGATTTTTTTGGACTTCAGCAAGGCTTTTGACACGGTTTCCCATAGGATCCTACTGGACGAAATGTCCACCATACAGCTAAATAAAAACATCATACGATGGGTGAGCAATTGGCTAACGGGCAGGGCCCAAAGGGTTATGGTGAATGGCGCTGCGTCAGGCTGGCGGGCGGTCACTAGTGGGGTCCCTCAAGGCTCCTTTTTAGGGCCTGTACTTTTCAATATTTTTATAAACGATCTGGATGTAGGAATAGAAGGTATTTTGAGCAAGTTTGCCGATGACACCAAACTTGGAGGAGTTGTGGACTCGAATGAGGGTGGAAAGGCCTTGCAGAGGGATCTGGATAGGTTGGAGAGCTGGGCGATCGCTAACCGCATGAAGTTCAATAAGAGCAAGTGCCGGGTCCTGCACCTGGGACGGGGAAACCCTGGCTGCACGTACAGACTGGGTGATGAGACGCTGGAGAGCAGCCTAGAAGAGAGGGATCTGGGGGTCGTGGTAGACAGCAAGTTGAATATGAGCCAGCAGTGTGCCCTGGCAGCCAGGAGGGCCAACCGTGTCCTGGGGTGCATCAAGCACGGCATCGCTAGTAGGTCGAGGGAGGTGATTGTCCCACTCTACTCTGCGCTGGTGCGGCCTCACCTTGAGTACTGTGTGCAGTTCTGGGCACCACAGTATAAAAAGGACATGAAACTGTTGGAGAGTGTCCAGAGGAGGGCTACGAAGATGGTGAAAGGCCTGGAGGGGAAGACGTACGAGGAACGGCTGAGGGCACTGGGCCTGTTCAGCCTGGAGAAGAGGAGGCTGAGGGGAGACCTCATCGCAGTCTACAACTTCCTCGTAAGGGGGTGTCAAGAGGCAGGAGACCTTTTCTCCATTAACATCAGCGACAGGACCCGCGGGAACGGGATTAAGCTGAGGCAGGGGAAGTTTAGGCTTGACATCAGGAGGAAGTTCTTCACCGAGAGAGTGGTTGCACACTGGAACAGGCTCCCCAGGGAAGTGGTCACTGCACCGAGCCTGACTTAATTTAAGAAGAGATTAGACTGTGCGCTTAGTCACATGGTCTGAACTTTTGGGTAGACCTGTGCGGTGTCAAGAGTTGGACTTGATGATCCTTAAGGGTCCCTTCCAACTCAGGATATTCTATGATTCTATGAAATCCTTAATGCTTTTAGCTTTTGTGGGTTTAAAAAAAAAAAAGCAAGTGAGAACTTTATTTCAATTAATTGCTGTGTTAATTGCAATTTAGTCATTTGTGCATCTAACTAGAATACAGATTCTATTAACTAAGTCAAGCTACTATGACCTACAGGAATTCTACTGTATTTCACCATCTGCATTGTCAACTTTTCTAAATTCTCATACTTAGTATTAGAAGCTCAACAGTGTTGCTGAGCTATCTGGAAACCATATTTTTTCCAGAAAGTAAGCTGTTCTTTCAGAAAGCCATTTGAATAGATGTTTTTAATACAATTGCCGAGTACTGTACATTAGAGTACCTGTACTTACACAATTTTGGTATTTGTCTATTTCACTTATTCCAGGGTATTTGGTTGCTAGGATAGCCTCTGTAATTGTAGAAACTGCACTGAATTAAATTCATAATTTAATTCAGGTGTGGTTATCATACTTCATAATTAAAAATTTCTAATATTTGCAGAGTTAACACATTTCCTTTGCTTTGGTCAAGGGATTGTGATTTTTGTGCTTACTTCCTACAACTCTTGAAGGTTGAGCCTATATGTTAGCCTAGAAAATGAATCATGCTCTGTGTACTCCATTGTCCATGTCAGGAATAAAAGTTCCCTCCTGAGTAGGAAGAATGTGACTGTCAAAATGTGATGTTAAAAACAAAACACTAGGAAAGCACTTGTTTGGTGATATAATATGTTCACTTTAAATTCTTTGGAAGTAACAGAAAATGCCTTTTCTTGGCCAGGCTTACAGTTAGCTTGATGTTGTCCTCCTTTCAGCTCCTTTTCTGGGGGACCAAGCACAAAGGTGTTTTAGAACATCACCTTCCTTTGTCTTCTGACTTTTGCTGATAAATGCTGTAGGTAGGTAAAAGCTGAGCATGAATATACCTCCTCATTTATTCTAAACTTTCTTATCAACTTCATTGTTTGGCTTGGCGTAAAGAGAAGACACCTGATATTTAAGTCTTCCTTGTTGTCTCGTGAACTTTCCATCTGCAGGAAGGCATAACCCAGTGGTGTTCTCTGATGTATGTACCGCTTGTGCATCACTGGCTGAAGAGGAGAATAAGACCTAACTACAAAACTGGGTCAAGCAGTTTAGGATATCAATACTGATATCCTAAGAGAACTAAAATCTCACAAAGGAAAGTCTCTTGGGGTAGCAACAGTAACTTCCCTTATTCTTTCCAAATTTGAGGAGACCTAGTTGCTGGAACTATCTGAAATAAGACCATGTAGCTTGGTATTGATTGTTTTCATATATTGAGAAATTCTGATACTTAAAATGAAGTTTCCTTTTCCCAGGAAAGAATGAACTTAGATGACTATAACTTCAGTAACAAACTTAGCCTCACTTTTTGTTGTTTCCCATACGAAGAAGGAAACTTATGTAGCATGAAACATTTCAATTTCTGATCTAACACCAGAGTTCTGCTAAGTGCTTTGTACAGGCATGCTATTGTCTCTCAATCTGGTTTTAAAATTGAAGGTAGTGAAATGCCATTCTTATTTGGATAGCAGCAAGCTGGAGCTGCTTTAAATCACCTGTCAGCATACAGCTCCTTTGAAAAATCACTTTCAAAGGTTGCAAAGGAGCTGTTACAGTATTCAGTCATTAAGTGCGTGTTACAAAATGTGTTCACACAGCAAGTGATGCTACACTGTGAAGTAATAGGTGATACTGGCTGGGAAAAAAAGAAAAAAAAAAAAACAACAAAAAAACAACACACAAACCAACAGCAACAAAAATCCTTTTCATAAAGACTAAACTTCCAACAATTGATCAAGCAGTTTGTTTTAATAAGTGTTCCTAAACATGTCTGTCACTGAATAGTTCCTTTAAAGCATGTCATGCTATAAGGAATTCCCAGAAAAATAATGTGTTACAGTTGTATCAGGCTGTATAATTTTTCCAATGGATAAGTTACATCTTGAAAAGACTATTCCTTGTTTACCTCTGGCTAATTTGGGGGTGAACTGTTTTTTTTTTTTTTCTTCCTCTTCATGGCACCCTGATTATGGTCATAGCAAAGGCTTCTGGAATGCTAATACTACTGGAAGGCACTACTTCATACATTTCAGGCTTTCCTTTGGCAAAAGAAAACAGGGAGGAGCAGTGGCAATGTGATCAGACAGCTCACTAAAATGAGGGTAACTTTCTAGTATTTAGAGCATGGATTTATTTTCTGCTCGTTTCTGTGAGAAGCAGAGTATTTCGGGGGTGTTTCTTCAGTAACAGGATAGTTTTCTATAATATGCAAGTACTTGAATGTTCTTGCAACTTGACTAGTGCTGTGAAAGAACCAAAATCAAGAAAAAACGGGCCTGCTTGGGTGGGTGTGCACATCTGCAGGCCTGCTGAACTCGTGTCTTCCCTACAACAGCTCAGTCCCCAGAAGATGGCGCTGAGGCACCCTTCTTTGCCTCAGCTCTCCCAACTGAGATCTTCAGCTGGGAGGTGCAGGAAGGCAGAAAACGTGGGTGGGTTTTTTTTTGTGGGTGGGTTTTTTTTTGTTTGTTTTTTGTTAACTAATCCACTTCTCATCACACTTAGACAAGTGTTGTAGAAAGTGGTTAAGGAGGTATTGGAGAGGCATTGGGGAGGCAAGGACAATCCCCAGACATGGACTGTATATTGATTAAG